CCCCGCACTGGGAGCATGAGAAATCCACGAAAGCGGCCTCAGCGTGCTTCACGCCCAGGCACGAGAGGCAGCGATCGTGACCATCACCCGGCGCCAGGTAACGACCGCACCCAGAAACACACGGGTGGTAAGACATCTTTAAAAAGACGCGTCTTCAAAAAGACGTTCCACCCGTGAAGCTCTTTTAGTATGGAAATTGCTCTTTTAGTGTGCTGAAGCGCACAGGGGAGATGGCCGTCTGCAACACACACAGGGGTAGTGCAGCCTGCTGTGTGCAACCCACTCGAAACGGGAAAACCACCGCCGTTGAAGCGCCGTACCACCAGCACGAGAGCCCACGAAGAGCGTGCTTGACTGTAGTCTACTCTCTCCGCAGAAGGTCAGGAGCAGAACGAAAGAACCGCTCGGCTCCGAAGCGAAAAGCTGAATATGCGCTGCATCTGCTGCCTACTTATACTCACGCTGTGATCAGCAGCAGCTGGATGCAATAATCGCATGCCAATGTGCATTGGCTCGTTTAGTTTACACTCGAAGTGGATTGGTCTCTCTAAGCGAGATCCCAATTCGTCGGTCATCCGATGTGACGTCGAGAGTGACCGACTGGAAGGGAACTTCTGTTACATGACTTTAAGTTTGCTAAGCAAAGCAGGACACTAATTATTAATCAAAAATCTAAATGGCAAGATGCAATAGAGGTTTGCTTTTGTTACATTTAAATGGACATTGTGTTTTTCTAGTTTCCAGTAAAGGTTAAACCTTAAAAATGTTAAGATACTAATAAATAATAGAGTTTCGTTGGACTCGGGTCCAACTTGAGTTCGACTCCGCCCATTTTGGACTCAGACTTGTCTCGGACTCAATTGGTTAAAGACTCAGACTCGACTTAGGTGGACTCGAACCCAACACTACAAGATAATGTCAGTGATCATATCCAGTAATGAAGGTGTACAGTAGAAGATTTCTTTTTTTTAAATGTGAGTCGAGTCACACTGTAGAAGCAGCATGAACAATATGACACTCACCTAAGACGGTAATTTGAACTCGGGAGTGTGTAGGTTCTTTGTAGTTATATTGCAATTTACCATTGGCTTCAAGTCTGAAGTAATATGACCCAACATGACTCTGATCAACATTATCGAAGCGTGTGGTGCAGTTTTTCTGTGTAGCGGTGCCAAATATTTCTCCTTTAAATGGTCCATTTTTGGGGCTGCTGGAGTTAAACACAGCTGTACTTTCGTCTTTAAACCACAATCTCTTTGCACTGTCAGTGAGGTCATCTTTATATTTCAGATCAATATCAAATGTGCAGGGGATGAAAACACAGGATCCATTCAGAGCTTCTACTTTCTTCGGCAGATTGATATTAAAGCCACAAAAAACACCTAAAACAAAGACAAACAGACAAAAGGAAGAAATCATACAAAGTTAATATGCAGAACAAACTTCTGCAGCACTTATTGCTCTTCGATCTCATGAAGGTCACATGAAAGTGCTTTCATAATAATAATTCAGCTCGTTAAATAGAGGAATAATCTAGGAATGAGACCTTGTATCAGAGATCCAGTGAGGAGGAATGTCACTAATGTTTCCATCATTTTCATGCAGTCCACCTTACAGCAGAATAGACAAAAACAGATATTATATATATACATATATATTCCTGTATGAATTTATAGCTCTTATGCTGGTATAAACTAATTACTTCTAAATTTCTAGATAAAAAAAAAAGACATGCTTCTGAATCTAAACTACAGGAGCAAGTGTAAGCTTGACTGTGTTGTGTGTAAATGACTTACCAGAGAATAGAGTTAAAGACGACAGAAATCCTCTCAGAGCTCAAGCTGATGCTTCTACACTGAACGGAGGGAGAACTGTGTGTGAAAACGGCACAATTTAGCTCATATTAGAGATTCACCACTTCTCCTTTAGTCAGAACTCAGTAACAGTAGCCAGGCTGAGAAATCTATGCTAATCAGTATGAAGCTTATTCAATGTTCAACACATATCTGTATATATTTTGGCAATTTGAAAACATTAATTGTGCTGTGAGATCTGGGGTTTATGCTGATTTAATATTCAATATTCAGTGTTGAATCACAAGACACTAAGATGTACAGGAGATGAGGAAACATTTACATTTTATTTCTTCTAAACTTTTTTGAGATATCATAGTCTATATCAAGATAATGTATTACGGGCCGGTAAAACTTCGCATGCTTCATATTGTTTTACAGTCATAAACTTTATTTCAAATAAGGAACATGGGAAATTGAAGATTAACCCAAGATACTGACCAAGGCTGAAAGCAGAAGAGATTTGTTCAAAATACTTTAGAGTCAGCAGAACAAGCTGCTCACGTGGTGTACTTGTACTTAACCATATACTTACATCGTAACTGTATTACTGTAGAATTAAGTATAGATTTAATAGTGATGAGCTCTATAGAGATCTTAGAGTTTTCCAAACTTGTCAAAACAAAAACGTATTATTAGTATTATTAATATTTCCGTTATTAATCATCATAAAACTTTAAATTGTTGCTATATGGTTGAACATAGTTAAGACATCAAAACCCGTGCAGCTCAGAGGATGTCAGCTTGCCTCTTTTTGTTTGTTTATGGGATGGAATATGTGCTGTTATCCCTCATTCAAATTCTGTTTTGTAACAGAAACCGTGGTCATTTGCAATATCTGTACTGAAACTGTCTGCTTATGTTGTCAATTTTTTTGCAGTAAACACAATTACAAAAAGGCAATACAAAACCATAATTAATGTCCTAAAGAACAGAGTGCTATAAAGAAAAAAAAAACAATATACAATGTAAAACTTGTCAGGGTCTTCTAATATTTTAAACGTCTTCAATTGACAAAATAATCTTCTTCCACTCTTCAACTCTGAAATTCTCACGGATTTATAATATAACCAAAATTATTTTCGAAAAATAGAAAACAATGGCTTTTTATGGATCTACAATTTCCCCAAAATAAAAATATTTTTCAGCAAAAATCGAATGTGTACATCTTCCATTATTATACTGAAGCCCAACACTGTTTAAGATATTACTAGGGGCGCAAAATCAAAAACTATTATTATTTATTAGAAAAATATGTTAACTAATTAATCTTAAACGGTCCATTCATGCAGTCAAAGTCTATGGCCTGTAAATCCCCATCTTTATAACCTTTTACTAGTACCCCTTTGTCATGTTGTCAATGATCTGAAGGTCTCAGGCTGAAAGTGAAGCCGCTTCTGCCGCCTAGTGGAGCAGACAGAAAACTGCACTTCCGTTTCTACCATTACCATAAGTAACACTCACCACCAGAGGGCACCAAGGTGTTATTCTATGTGCTTATAATCTATAGGTTCCATTAGTTAATGAACAATCCATTTATTACAGTATTTATTAATCTATTTGTCAATGTTAGTTAATGAAAATGCAGTTGTTCACTATCAGTTCTCTGGCCATAATTTATGTAACACCTAACTTTTTGATGCTACATAAAGATTGAGGGACCACAGAGACTGATTCATTTCAGTGAGCCATGTGTATTAAAGACATACTGTGAGCCACACATTCATATCAACAAGTCCAAACATTAGCATATAGAGTCTTCCAGAGTTGAGGAAACATCAATTAAGTCCACCAAGTCCATCAGTTCATAGATATGACCATAAGTAGCATTTTGTCACAGTGAAATCAGTCTTTAAAGTGGAAAATATAACACCAGCAGTCCTTAAATGAAGCAAGGAAGAATCGGAACCAGCAAACAATTCATCCGTTTGTTGATCATAGAATAAGATGAGTAGATGTTTGGATGAAGACAATTAGCCCCTTTTTGTCTAGGTCCTGTTTATATCTGTGCTGTTTCCTCTCTCATACAAGAACCCTCTGCATTTAAACAAACATACAATCAACACGTGTTTAGTATTAACCCCTAACAGAAAGCATATTTACAAACTCTACATACATACAAAACAATGCCTTACTTACATTTGAGAGCAAGAACAAATTGTTCCTCAAATCAAGGCACCAACAAAGGACAGCAAAGGTGAAGACATTCCATGTGCTTAGCACACCACTTCCTGCCTAATGCTACTTCTTTACCCCCTTTTAGGCAAATGAGCAACTCAGAATACAGAGCGCCCCCTAATGATTGGTATAGCTATAACATGCAAAGAACTACTGGGAACAAGTGTGACAGTAAAACTGTTACAACGTGGACTGGAAGGATAAAGACAACAGGCACTTTATTGAAATATAAGAGTTTAAAATACACAGTACATTGATTCCACACAAGGTCTCAATCAGCAAAGCACAAGTCCAAATTATACATACAGATACACACAAAAAAAACAACAGAAAGTAAAGGAGGTGGCCAGCAGGGGTCCTCTGCCTTCCACCCAACCCTCAACAAAAAAAAAAAGAAAAGAAACCCACAACACACTTGTGAAAACACAGCAAGCTTATTAAGCACAGCACTCTATGTATGCACACCAGTACATTACAACCACAGCTGGGCTCTCCCACTATAAAGATTGACTGAAAAATACAATACAAACAAAAAGGAATAAACAAATCACAAAATACAGAAAACAAGGAACACAATACAAAATTAATTACACACTCCAAAACAAACAAAGGAAAAATAAAATTATAGGCCTACTGTTGTAGCTAACCAAATAAACAACTTAATACTTTTCACAGAAAGGAACAAAAACAAAAAAAAACAAAGACAACAGATAGTCAAAAATCTGCTCAGAAGAACAGAACAGAAGAGAACAGAAGACAAAATCACTTCAATAATAACTCAAACGCATGCACGCACGGCTAGAAATGTTTCATGTTCTGGGAATGTTTTCAGCGGCAAGTTTTATTTTAGTTCCCAGAATGTTCTGCTAAAAGGTAGGATAACATTCTCTAAAACATTCTAAAAATGTTTATTGATAACATTGTTAGAACATTATCCTCTAACATTCTAATAAAGCTTCCCATCACACTAGATGTGGACTTACATTGCTCAGAAGTCAAATTTTGGTTGAAAGTGAAAACCCAACCTTTGTTTGATGTCAAGCTCCAGAGTAAATAACTCCAAAAACAGCATTACCAGCGTCACTTACAAAACAGATTGACTTTATTTCTGTCAAACATTTACAAATGTTCTTATTGAAATTAACAGAGGTTTAGATGTTGATGTCTGTTTGAAAGTATTCGTTTGGTTTGATGCCACCATTATGGTGAGAAGTGTTTGCTTTAGTTGGGCAATTTGACTCTTGACTTTCTGATGTTTTTCTTTAGCTGTTGTAACTATGTTTGTTATGTCAAAAGCAGCGAGAGAAAATGTGGTCGGCTGCTGTTGTGTACTTGTGGATAATAACGATAGCAAACAATTCATCCGTTTGTTGATCACAGAATAAGATGAGTGGATGGTTGGATGAAGACAATTAGCCCCTTTTTGTCTAGGTCCTGTTTATATCCGTGTTGTTTCCTCTCTCATACAAGAACCCTCTGCATTTAATCAGTTTTGGGCTAGTTACTCAAAGAATGTAATATATTACTCATTACTAGTTACTCCTTTCAAAAGTATTATTGTTACTTTTTACTTTCTGGCAACAGTAGTTAGTTACACTAGTTACATTACTTTTTCTTCACGCCCCACAGAAGTTGTAACTGTGTATCTTCCACATAAAATTCTTTTAGAATGTTACTAACAACATATTTCTGCCTCATCATTTGACCAAAATCCACACTGGATCACAGTCAGAAGTTATTACAAACCCTCAATAGTGATTGATAGTGACATTCAAGTAGAAGTGTTGTATTAATCTCATTAATTGTCATGTGTAGCTTGAAGCTAATTGTAATTTCTCCATTCTAACAACATATTTCTGCCTCATCATTTGACCAAAATCCACATTGGATCGCAGTCAGAAGTTATTACAAACACTCAATAGTGACTAATAGTGACATTCAAGTAGAAGTGTTGTATTAATCTCATCGTCATGTGTAGCTTGAAGCTAATTGTAATTTCTCCGGTACCCATATACGATTATGTTTCATTATGTATTTTATCAAATCACATAAGTTTGTAAGAAACTGTTTCATTTTCCACAAATATTTTTAATTATAGGCTAATATAATGTACCAGATGCTGATCAGAGGGATGTAATGCCAGAGTAAAGTAAAACCACAACTTACACAACAGTGTTCAGATCATCTTTTTTCCTGACAAAATCAATATAATGCAATATTTCTATCTGCTGAATGTAAGCTTTTCCATATTCCGAGCTTGCCTGCTGCCCTGGGGACATCACATGCATGTGCGAGTCGTGAAAATTATGAAAATAAATCTAGGAATTATTTGACTGTTGGATTTTAAATCAGCGGGGTTGAGGCATCAAAAGTAACTAAGCTGTTTTATGGATGGTAACTGTAATATTATTACTGAAATCTTATTAGTAATTAGTTACACTACTAGTTACTGCAAAAAGTAATATTATTACAGTAACTAAGTTACTAGTAACTAGTTACTGCCCAACACTGATGTTAATTCACAGTGCATTAACTAATGTTAACAAGCACAAACTTTGATTTTAATGATGCATTAGTAAATGTTGGAATTAACATTAACTAAGATTAATAAATGCTGTAGAAGTATTATTCATTCTTAGTTCATGTTAACTAGTTAACTGATGTTAACTAATGAAACCTTATTGTAAAGTGTTACCATATTTTTATTATTGTAATGAAATAAATATAACCATACCTATTCATTAAACCACTTTCTACAAAACTAAAGAGAATTAGTATTTTTTTCCATATAAAAAATACAAATTTGGAGCATCAAGGCTCCATTCACTTGATGATTTGTCCACAATGGATCGTATTTTATTCGTTTAAATAAAATATACATGGGCATTAGGCTATCTGCTTTGAACAACACCCCATTTAAATTGAAATGGGTTTCTGTAAGAGTGGTTTTATGCATCCCTTTCTGCTCTAATTGTGATATTTGCATATTTTGTGCTTGTAGACTCATACTGATGCTTTTGCATTCTAGCATTACATTATTTCACTAAATAAAATCACCCGCTAATAAAAAGATTGCATTTATTAAAAATGAAACATACAAATTTAGAACATCTGATAGGGATAAAAAATATTATTATTATTATAGTTCCATCACATACAAGTACAAGGCAAAAAGTACAAGGCAAATATAAGGCAATGTTGTACAGCATGTAAAACAGAGTAACAACAACAAAAAACATCAAATCAACATAAACATAAAAAAATACTAGGATAAAAAAGTGTTATATATTATCAGGGCAGTTACATACGTTTTGAAAGGCTTTAGAATTGTTATTGTTTTTATAAGCTTCTTATGTTGTGATCTCATATTAGAAAGGGTTTTTAAATATATTTTAAGATCAGTGTTACAAAAGGTAATATATGATGGTTTCTTTTTAAAATTATTTTTGACTTATGAATATTAAACTTTGCTAAAAAAAAATTAACAGATTAATAGTGTAATTTAGTTTTTCATAAAAATACGGGTTTTGAAAACAAAGTAAAATATCATGAGGTTCTAAATTAAGGGCTGTGTTTAATTTTTTTGTTATGTCTGTTTTCAACCCAAAATGAAATAGAAAAAGGGCAATAGAAAAATAAATGTCCAATATCTTTAACTGATATGTTGCAAAAGGTACATTTATCACAAACACTATGAATATATCTGCTAACAAATATTTTGATTATATTTCATTATGATATTTTATATTTGTTGTGGAATTGTTGGTCACATGTGAAAGTGTAATCTGTCTGCTAACACGAGAATGTGTTTTGAAATGTTAAAAACATCTTGATTGCTGTTAAAGATAAAACTGAAATTATATTATTACACAGTCCAAGGGGGGGAAAAAGCACATTTTGTTAAAAAAGAGAAAAGTTGGGAGGTTGTATCAAAAGCATAGCTCAGTAGCTTAGTACATATAAGATACATAAATATAGTTTCATTTGTCTGAGTACAAGGATTTATTTTTTCAATTTTGCACCCTGTTTTGTCCCACTTCTCAAGCTGCATTTACATGATAACATCTGTGAATCATTTTGTAAAGTACTTCTTTTACTTTATTATAAATAACATATTTATATGGTAATATCCAAATGCTACGCCAAGATATACAATGAGGTTTAAGCCATTTTGATTTACATGGAGGATTGGATCCAACATTAAAAGGGTTTCTTATAAAACTGTTATTAAAACGTTTGTAGTCGCAAAAAAGCGTGTATTTACACACGTCCGTCACTCAAATCCCTCCGCGTGAACTCGAGGATACGTAAATGGTTCCTAGTGGGCAAATGCATTGCTTTTCAAGTTAATAATTTACTCAAACAGTATACAGAGTTGCTAGTTTAAACAGAGAGATGAATTACCTAGTGACAGAAAAAATATATTCTGACTTGATGTACCAAATACCAAGTGTAAAAAGATGTGCCATTATATAGACAAGAACTATGAGCAAACCAGAAGTCAAACACAAAAGTCAGGTATTATTGCAAAAGCGGAAACTAGAAAACATCAAGTGCAACCACAAAGTGTTATGCAATGACTCTCTGGCAGTCTATAATACCCCGAAAACCCTCTTCCGACCCCACCTACTCTCAGCTCAGCAAGTTCAGACTGGCAGCAGAAACTTCACGCGCTTCTTTCTTCCCCACTCTGTGATTTCTTTAAGGTGTGATCTTGTGTTTCTGCCCTGCATCTCTGCTGCATAGACTCTTGTTAATATCTGTTACATGCTGCATTGGTTTCTGAAGAGTTTAAAGCCGCAGAGATGAGTGAAGCAGAAGACAATGACATTCTTGAGCTGGACTCAGAAACAGAGGAGGGAGACGTGGAGATGAATTTAATGACAGATGTGGGTGAGTTTCAGCATCTTTAATAGTTTTCTGCGGTCTTTATAGCTTGTCTTCATACAGGATTCAGAGAAAAAGAGGACAAACCCTGCAGCCACTCCATTTTAGTTTCTTTTTCGGCGCAGCAGGTCAGTTGAGCTTATCAGAAGTCCTTTTTGAGAGATAATAATGAGCTCAAACGCGTTCATAGAAACGGAATACAGACTAAAATGACTTGAATATATTTGCATATGTAAGACTCAAAACAACACAACACGACCTAACCAGAAAGACAAGTTATATATTTCATCCTCGGGTATAAACTCTCTCCTAACTCATATTAACAAAAATATGCTCTAATAACGCTGCTGAAAACGTTCTTTTGGAATGTTCTCTGAACGTTCTTTCTTGGTTATGTGAACGTTGAGGGAACATTCCATTTGATCATTTTGCAAACATTACTGGACTGTTACTTTTGATTGTTCTTAGAGCGTTCTGAAACAAGAAACATTTAAAAAATAAAATAAAAAAGTTACTTGGACCTCCAGCTAAAATGTTCCAGGAAAAAAAACATGACATGAAAGATGTTTTTGCGCTAATGTCTTGAGAACATTTTTAAACGCCAAATGTTTTATTAATTTTACTGGAAGAGTGTTTGTTCATAGCTTTGCAGAAACATTCTTGTGGTTGTACACACACATATGTAGTTGTTTTTTTGGTGTTTGGCTTAGTGTTATGCTAGAATCATTATTATACTCTTATACCCTTTGTTCTTTAATATTTTGAATTGTTTTTAGCTTTATTTTTTGTTTTTCTTTTAAATGTTAAGTTTTGAAATTTTGTTGTATGCATTTGTTATTTTTATTTAATCTCTTTATTTTTAAAATGTGTATAGGTAGGCTAGTATTTGGATCTGTTTTTAGTTGTTTTAATATTACAATTGATTGCTTGTGTTGTCCTCATTTGTAAGTTGCTTTGGATAAAAGCGTCTAATAAATGACTAAATAAATAAAAATAAACATTCTGAGAACATTCCCTTTTAGCTAAATAATGACGTCGCTTTTGATTCTGTTGCTTTTTTACTGTAAGAACTGCATAAACATGATGCAAACAACATTAAAAGTGATTAAATTTTACGAATCCATGTGTTTTGTTAACAAAAATTGTTGTTAATATATAATGTATGCTATAGATAAACTCTGTACACAAATACACGTGTGTCTGAAACAGAAAAGTCTGATGATTTGCTTGAGTGTGTGTTTTATGGACCGTTTTATTTCACGTGCTAGAATGGGAGTGTGTTGTGGAGGCGTTATTCATGAAGTCAGTCAGATGTTCCTGGACAGATGAGTTTTCCTTGCACAGGCTGTTTTCAGGCCGTTGCTATGGACATTTTCCGCTCAGCCAAGCAACATCTGATTTGAGTTAATATTGTCCCATTATGCTTTGCTCTCTGGCTGGTTTGTTTTGGTTGGGTTTTCCCTTTGCTGTGAGTAAACATTACATCAGAGAATTCCAAAGCGTTCACATGCTGTGTGTGAATTAGTTTGATTAGTTTGAGTGTAAGAATGTTTGATGCTTCATGCCATTAGCTTTGAATTGAAAGGAATGTGCTCACCCTCAGGCCATCTAAGATGTAGATGAGTTTGTTTGTTCATCGAAACAGATTTGGAGAAATTTAGCATTGGACCACTTGCTCACCAATGGATCCTCTGCAGTGAATGGGTGCCGTCAGAATCCAAACAGCTGATAAAAACACCACAATAATCCACACCACTCCACTCCATCAATTAACATCTTGTGAAGTAAAATGCTGTGATTGTAATTTTTGTCAGCTGTTTGGACTTTTATTCTGACGGCACCCATTCACAGCAGAAGATCCATGACTCACATTTATTGCCTGTTAAATCTTTCCTTTATTGTAATATTTTGCATATGCTTTTTCCTAGTTTATTCTGAAGAGTTGCCAACATACAAATCTATGCCAAAAGGTCAAGCTGTGCCAAAAGTGGAACGGGTTTGTTTCTTTTTAATCCGCCTTGATAAACACAGGAAAATATTAGATCACACACACACACACACCCTTATTGCTGCAGTAAGTTCATTACAAATCTCAGTGTTATCTGGAACATATATCTGAATTAATTCAGTAGCTCAATTATTTTATTAATGAACTTTTATGACTTTTTTAGTTCTTTTGCGTCACTTAATGGAGTTGATTTTGAGCTTTCTGTAACGTCAGTTTACTGTTAACAGGCTGAATTCAACGGTAACCCTGATTCACTATTTTTCAACGATGGAAAGAGAAGGATTGACTTCGTTTTGGTCTATGAGGACGAGTCTAAAAGTGCATCTGAGAAAAAAGGCTCAGTTATGAGGAGAAGAGTAAGTCAAAGTCACTTTCACACATTTCTTTAGTTCACCTCTTAACAAACAGAAACTTCTAGCCCTTTACTAGTAATCTGAGCAATAACATTAAAGGGATTGATACACAAAAGAAGATATTTTGAAGAATGTTGGTAATCAAACAGTTGGTATCCATTGACTTCCACAGTATTTTTTTTCTATACTAAGGAAGTTGATGGCTACGTCATTCTAAATGGTGAATTCTTTATTCATAAATTCTTTAATCATAAATATCCAAAACTCTTTTAATGCCTGGTTTTATGAAATGTTGTTTTCAAAGTAAAAAAAATTAAAAATACAAGAAAAAACATGTTCATAATATCTGTAATATGCATTTAGAACATAGATATCAGCAGACTTAACTGGGTAAAAATCATCAAAATTGTCAAAGAATATTTCTGAGTGATATTTTACCCATATTTTCTTTTGAATTTAAAAAGATCAAATATTTATTTGTGAGATGGTCAAATGTTTGTGTGATATTCACATGCATTATACTCAAAACCATAATCACTAAACAACACATAACTCTTTCCTTAAAGGGACAGTTCACCCAAAATGAAAATTTGCTGTTAATTTGCTCACCCTCAGGACATCCAAGATGTAGATTACTTTTTTTTCTTTAATAGAAAAGTAAAGAAGTTTTTCTGCTGAAACTGTGGTTCTTGGTGATTCATAAAATGCAAGTCAATGGCTACCGGCACTTTAAGAGTCAAAAAAGCACATACAGGCAACACAAAATTAATCCCTGTGACTCCTGACGATATATTTAGGTCTTATGAAGAGAAACAATCGATCTGTGCAAGAAACCGGACATTATTTACAACATTATTATTACAACTATGTCATTCATAGGCCTCAAAATCAGTGAGTTTTATCTACATTCCCTCTTTTCCCCTCAATTATTCTCTAGCAAAGACGCAGAGAGTTTTTCGAAGGAAGCCTGATGAATATGGGTGTGGAATTGGAAGCGACACAATCCGTAAGTCATTTAATCGCACAGCATCTACAGAGATAGATAGAGATTATAGAGATTTCTTTCTGTTTCTAATGCCTGGTTTATATCAGTTTTACCCGTATATATGGACTTCTCAGGAAGGATACTGCGAGTCCTGTCTGAATCTGTTGATATGATCTGCAGGAATGTTATTGTTTTAGATGCACGTATGCCTTCCTGTTGCGCTGATGGGAGAGTTTCCTCCCTGTGTTTTGTAGGTAGTGGATGAGAAGCTCGTCTATGTGAAAGTACACATGCCTTTTGAGGTTTTGTGCACTTATGCTGAAGTCCTGCACATCAAACTGCCCATCCAGCCCAACGATCTGGCCCCGCAATCATCCGCGTACAACTGCTTCACGCACCACTTCTACCCCAGCGAGGACGTCATCGCCAAGGAGGCCGACTTCTTCACGGCTCCTTTCCAGAAGGATCAGCTGAAGTGTTTTTGGGTGAAGGACAGAGAGCAGTTCTTCACGCCGGCCATGAGGAGCAGAATGGTGCGTTGAATGTCTCGGAGTCACTCACGCTTAACCGTCACCTGTGTTTTACTGATATGCCGTGGGTTGCAGGCGTACTACATCCTCAGCCGAGCGCCGTATGACGTCAAAGGAAACGTGAAGAAGTTTGGCTTCAATAAGCTGCTGGATGGAGGCGTGTATAAGGCTGCGTATCCATTACATGATGTAAGTACCATCCGTGTGCTGGTTGCACTGTTTGAGGCAAGATAACAAAGGTGAATAGGGTCAGAATTGATATAGAAATAGATTTCACCATACTTTCAGGGTTATCATAGTTTGGTAAAAATACAACTATTAAAAACTTTTTATATATATATATATATATATATAAATATGAGATGAAAAAATTTGAATTGTTGAAACTGGAAATAAATAAAAACTAAAACTAAAACAAATAAAAATCAATTAAACCTAAATAGTAATACAAGAAAAACACTAATAAGATAAATAAACAGTAAATCTAAAATCAAATTAAAAACTGAAAATGTAAAATACATTTTACTTAAAAAGTAATAGAATGTAAATAATCCTAAAATAACACCAGTGTTATTTTTATTAATATTTTGATTTTTTTTTATTGTTATTTTAATTTGAGTTAGTTTTAATAATTTTGTTTTGTGTTTTTGTAATTTTTATATCATTTTTATACATTTGTGTTTTAGTTTTAGTATTTCTGAAACACAAAGTTAAATGAAATGAAAATGAGTGCCAGAATGCCAAATTTTAGTTGTATTATTATAATTATTATTGTTGTCGTTGTAATTAAATATTTATTTGTTTATTTGAAAATAAAATATTACTGTTGCATTTATTTTGCATATATTGTTGCATAAATGCAAAAGTAATATTTTATTTTCAAATTAAAAAATAAATATTTAATTACAACGACAACAATAATTATTATAATAATACAACTAAAATTTGGCATTCTGGCACTCATTTTCATTTCATTTAACTTTGTGTTTCAGAATAACAATATATATAACACAAATGTATAAAAATGATATAAAAATTACAAATATTTTTATTTTTGGTCGACTATAATAACCCTAATTACCACTGATCACAGTATATTATGACAGTTGTTTTGTATTGCAGCTTTTCTGAAATGTTCTGTTTACATGTGCAAATGAGGCATTATGTAATTAAATATGCACTAATTTGCATACATTTCCAGAACAGGAATCTGAACATTGGATAAAGCCAGGATCAATATTCTTGTTTCATTTTGTTGACATATTGAAAGGTTTTTACAGAGGGGATTTTGGATTTTATTTATCACCCCATATAAAGGAATAAAATGTTATATATCAAGTGAATGTTGTATGAATAAAGCCCTCTGTGACATTTTGCACGCTTATAATGATTATTATGATAATCTGCATGCAGGCAGCGCAAAAAGACAGCCTTTGAAATGTTCATAATTCAGTTGATCAGTGAGTCTTGAACCACCTACACACATACAATGAGATGACACCACATCCTGGCACTTCATTCTTAGGAAAAACAAAGGTGTTCTTAAGAAAAGGATGTCTGTTTGTTTTTTTTCCAGAATTGCACTAAGAATCATTCTTGGAATTTATGTAAAGAAATTTCTTGGCTTCTTTCTTAAGATTTTCGCGTGTCCGGCCCCTGTCCTGCATTTAAACTGGATGTAGTTTATGTAGAGTAACTGAAGTGATGCATGAGTATTAATGCGCTTTCTGCTGGTGTTTTTGTGATTTCTGCAACAGTGCAGGTTTAATGTGAAATCTAAAGAGCCCGATTGCCCTAATGAGCGATTTCTGCTGTATAATGAGTGGGCTCATCCCAAGAGCTTCTACAAGATGCAGCCGCTGGACCTGATCAGGTGTGTTTGTGTGTCATTCATGCTGTTTCTGGTTTTTCTTCTGATCCCCTCCCGATAGATGAGCTTGTTAATATGTGCCTCTGCTTTCAGGAAGTATTTCGGTGAGAAGATCGGCATTTATTTCGCCTGGTTGGGTTTCTACACAGTCATGTTGACTCTCGCCGCTGCAGTCGGACTCGGTTGTTTCATATACGGATACACAACCAGAGAGACCAGCACATGGAGGTACAGGAGACTTTTATTTTTATTTATTTTTATAAAATATTACATTAGTAATATTTTTTGTTTTGTTTTTTATTTAGTCATTTATATTTAGTAAAAAAAATGTTTTTATTATTATTAATATTATTATTATTTTATGGAAATTACATTAATATTAATGATACCTAGATCATTCATTAATAATCTATATCATAGATTAAAATAAATGATACAGCTAACAGTACAGTACTACCACAGTGTGATGAAGACAGTCCGTACTTCTTTTTTTAATTTAAAGTGAAATATTTCAATAGTCTTATTTATTATTTTGTTTTTATTTAGTCATTTTTATTCTGTAAAAAT